TTCTCGCATTCGTCGCATGCGTAATCTTTGCAACCCTCGTGTACTGTCTTCTGGTGCACAAGCAGATAATATTTTTGTCCAAATACTTTCTTGCACATGTTGCATGCGAAATCTTTTCGACTTTCATGCACGGTTCTTTGGTGCTTCAACAAATCTGCTTTGTATCCAAATTTCTTCTCACACTTATCGCATGCATAATCTTTCTGACCTTCGTGAACGGTTTTTTGGTGTTTTATCAAATTGTATTTAGTCCCAAATTTTTTCTCGCACTCGTTACATGCGTAATCTTTTTGACCTTCGTGGACAATTTTTTGGTGATTAAGCAAATGTGATTTCCTTCCAAATTTCTTCTCGCAGTTATTGCATTCGTAATTTTTCTGACCTTCGTGAACTGTTTTTTGATGTAAGAGCAAGTACGATTTTATTCCAAATTTCTTCTCGCACTTGTCACACGCGTAATCTTTGCGACCTTCATGGACTATTTTTTGATGTCTAGTCAAATAGCATTGTTTTCCAAATTTCTTCTCGCAATTGTCACACGAATAATCGTTGCAACTGCTGTGTACTGTCTTTTGGTGGTAGAGCAGACTTGGTTTTTGTGTGCATTTTTTTTCTGTATTTTGGTGCTTAATCAAATTTGGTGTTGATCCAAATTTCTTCTGGCGCTCATCACAAGTGAAATCTTTGCAACACTCATGGACTGTTTTTATATGCAAGAGCAAACTCCGTTCGTTTCCAAATCTCTTCGCGCATCTTTCACATAAATAATCTTTGAAGACTTCGTGGAATATTTTATAGTGCTTTAGTAAAGTTGATTTATTTTCAAATTTCTTCTCGCACTTGTTACAAGTGAAATTTTCACGATCTTTATGAACTAATTTTTGATGCGTAAACAAACTCGATTTTTTCACAAATTTCATATCGCACTGGTCGCATGTAAAGTCTTTGCAGCTTTTATGTTCCGATATTTGGTGTCTACTCAAATGACTCCGAAACTCGAATTTCTCTTCGCACTTGTTACATTCATAATTTTTTTGTTCATTGTGAACTCTGTCTTGATGTGTTATCATGTTTGATTCTAGTAAAAATGTCTCTTGACAAAAATCACAAACGTGTTGTTTGTCGTCGGAAAAAACAATGTCGTGTTCACTTGAGTTATCTTTTGAGACAACTTCTTCGGATTTCTTCTCACTTTTATCCATTTTGTAGCCTAAATTTAACGATAGATTTTTGGTACTTATGGCTTGTTTCATCCGGAAGTACAAAATTTAGTCTAATTCATGCTCAGTATAAACAAATCAGTGTGTCGAGGGACTTTAGTCAAAATTATTTTTGATCATATTGTTTACTTCGAGGTACTCATTTATCCGCTTATACATTGTTGTTACAACATTCGAAACAATTTAAAATTTTCACGTGGTGACGATTTCTTCGAGGAATTTTTTGGCTTTTTAAAACCAAGTACCTACAAAAAAACTGACAGCTGACAACATCGAGATCATACAAAGAAATATTTTGTAAATAGATTCACATGTACACATGTATAATAAAAAAAAATTGTTATTCAATCTAAAATTTGTCACTCCTACGCCATGACGCGATTGGCGTGTTCCATAACTCACCACTGTATATCTCAGCTAGGGTTCTTACCTGCATTCCTCACTGTTTTCAACCGTAAAAATAGATAAAGCTGGGGTTTTCATGGCATAAAAAACATATTTCAAAACTCAAATTTTCTAGTAATGACGCATAGTTTATAAAGTTGAATTCTTGAGTTATTTCTAATATACATTGCTCTACATCAATGTTGGACAATGAAAAAAGTCTTGAGTGTACAAATTAGCTATAATCTAGCTAAAAACGATCTTCTAAAGTTACTTGTGTCATATTTTGTCTGATGCATATTTAGCGTATTAAAAATCGTTAAAAATTTGAAAATGAGCCCATTTGAATTTCGTTAAAGTATTTTTATTTATATCATAGCATAAAGATCATTCTTAAACTTTACTTTCAGAGAAGGATATATGGTTAATAAATAGTAATAATAATAATAATACGATTCACTCGAATAATTAAAAAACAAAAATATTCAACTTATAAATAATCTTAAATTTTCTTATATCGTCTTCCCGTGGAAATTCTGCAAATTTCACCTCTGCTAATTAATACCCGATAAAAGCGAATAATTACTGCACGATCGATCAAGCCCAAGTCGGTATTATTTCAGAATTACTGCACACGAAGTCGTGTTTTTCGCTCGTTCGCTCATTAATTCATGCGTTTTTTTTTTAACATTTACACGCGTATTATAACGATTCGCTTTCGGTTCGGCTTGCATTTGCATACGTTATAACGTAGCATCGCGAACACGCATTTCCAATTTCACTCGATCCGTCGTAATTTTCCAAGCAGGCCTATCCCGATGTATCTCTCTCCCTCTCTTTTTTCTCTTCGTTTTCCTTTTCGTTTTCGAGAAGCCGATGTATATACGATATAGAATTATCCTCGCGCGAGGCGAACTTCCGACGAGTATAGCTTTGCGCGCAGTGAAAGTGAAAATGTATACATGTATATCGATGATTTGGATCGCGTTTAAAATTGAATGTACACAGAGCGGGGACGATCGATTGCATCATAATTGTTCGTCGGTAGAGGTGAAATTTTTCAATGTTAACCGCATCTCTACCGGTGTGCGCACAATTGAAAAAGTCGCCGATGTGAAAAGTTCGTTACGTGCTGACTCGATGATTATGAACGATTGTCGAGGGGATCTAGTATAGGGAATAAAACTGAAAAAGAAAACGGAAAAAACGATGATAGTTTCATCAGAAATCTGAATCAACGAAAAATTAAAAAATACAACTCGCAGTAAATTTTCCACGTCTCATGCATGTATTTTACCGATAGATTATATCTGAAAAATTATTTGTATCGTTCGTTTACTTTTCGAAATTCACTTTCAGCTATCGATTAATCGCCCCTACATGCATTACATTTATAAATAAAATACACAATTCCGAATAATCCAATCCTCCTGCGATATCCATAACTTTTCTTTCTCCGATCGTCGTAAATATATTATAATCAGCGCTGCTCCCCGAGAGTTCGAGAAAGCGCACTAGAGCGAGCTGCGAATAATAATATTTCCATCGATATTTTTCAATTTCTCTCGAAAATAAATTCACCTCCAGATCTGCGTTATTATTATACACGTTAGATTTACAATGTATGCATGAAACGCAGACTCGTTGCGTAACTCGCGCGAAGATTTATGAATTTTGCGTACATGAATTTGTACGCGCGGAGAAAGGTAAAACGTATACGCGTTACGATGCGTGCCGAAAGATTGTTATTCTATATACTTTTATTGCCAAGGGCGTGACTCTCTTAACACGTGTGTTCATCGCACATGTGTTGAGGCAGATCCTCTCGCGGGTCTATTTGTTGTAGCGAGCACAGAGAATTATCATCGATGCAATAATGCATTAGCTTTCGATTCCCACGCGCAGCTGGCAGCAGTGCTATGTAACTCCAGCCTTGTGTACACACGTAGACACCCACGCGTGATTATTAGTTAAATTTCACCTCTACACTCGAGCCCTTATAATTATTTTTTTTTTTGTCGCAATATCAACGAGTTTACGAACGTTTTAACATTTTTAATTGTCATCGCGACGGTTGGCGCATGAGTCAAATTATCCGCGCTAGCAATTTACCGCGCGCGCGTTTTATACAGGTGTACGACCTTTTTTTTTGCGAAACTCAACGATTCGCACACGACGTTCGTTGGTACCGGGGAGTTGGCGTCGTTTGACGATAATTACGTCACGACTTTGTTCCTATTTTTTTTTTTTTTTCTACCGAACGAATTGTGTCTAGACCCGCGAGTATTTCGAGCTTTTTTTAACGATCTCGCTGTTTCCGAGCGTAGGATCGGTGGCTCAATTAGACTCGTAATAACGAACGATCATCGGTGCAGCGGTGTCGAAGCGTATTAACTTGTCAATTTCGCAGAGTGCAATAGCGAGATCAGTGCTAAAACGCGACCTCGAAATGTGTTTTTTTTTTTCTCTCTCTCTCTTTCTCCGTGTCTCACTTTCTTTCATTGGAAGCGATTGAGACATTACATTATATTGTTTCTCGTCGGTATATAATAGCGCGGCCTGACCCCGATTCGTTCGTATTTATTTATTTTTCTTTGCTTTTTTCGCAACTATTCCAACGTTTGACATAATTAAATACGGACGACGATCCGTTGCCGCCGCCGCTATAAGGTGTATAATGCACAAGATGCGCTATTCTATTGTCACGTAATTCAATTGCCAAATCGATTATAAATCATTCGTAGCCATATATTTATTGATGTATATTATAATATTTTATTGCGTCGCGTGCACGTTCGTTGGTATAGAAATTCTCGATACATCAATAGTGGCCTGGTGGTCAAAAAATGATAATTTAACATGTTCACCGATAATTGACTTATTTTTTCTGATACAACTGTACTTAAAAAATTTAGACCAGTTTTCAACCACTTTAAGCCTCAACCGTTAGAGGGCAAATACCCATATTTCTGTAAATCTGCAAGTGGCAAAGTCAAAATAATGGTATAAGTCGAAGAACGGTTTTAATAAATTTCAGCATTAGATTTTTTTTAAAATGTGTTAAAATATGTTAAATGTTAATAAATTCAAAAATTAGCCTAAAGCAAATATACATTAACAATTAGTGGTAACATGGGCGCCTACACTATCTACAAAAATTTTGTACATTAAGCTTCAAATCGTGCTTAGCACGCAAATGTATTACACCATCGTAATAAAAACATATATAAAAACTAAGAACTGATAAATTTCAGCATCACGAGACCCTCCCAATTTATTTAATGTTCTTCTTCTCATCCTCGCAGGAGGTGATAAGCAGCGAATCGGTTCAATGTCAGCAGCGTCGCGCGCCGGGCGTCTGCCAGTTCGGATCACCGCGGGCTTCTTCTTCTGGTACTGAATTCGCCGGGCAGCTGCTTACCCGAGAGCATGAGCGAAGCCACGTCCTGTAGCTGCGTCGCCAGCTCCATTGGAAAGGTATACGACGATTCACTTTCCTTACCGATTTTTCGATAAACATTCCGAATAGTTGCGATACCGATCTCTCTCTATATATATCCGCCGGCAGGGCTCGTTACACAGCGGTAACAACGGAGTAGGTGGAAGCAACGGCGGCAGCAGCGCCATGTTCCAAGAGCCGTTCTTCCTTCATCCACCGGGCTCGCGTGCCCGGGACGGCCTCTACATCAATCCCATGACGGCGAACGCCTTCGTGGTGGCCCCGACGACGACGCTGCCCTTGCCTCTGCGTCTGAATAGCAACGGCGTTAATCACAAGGATCAGTTGATACTGTCGTCGAGCGCCTCGCAGTCCAACGGAATCAGCAGCTTGGGCAGTGCCGCGAGCAGCGGCAACAACACCATCGCCACCGGGGGCAGCAGCAGCGGCTCGTTTTTCCTGCACAGCCCGCACGAGCTGGTCTACACGCGGGTGGCTCATCTGTTCGACGACGCCGGTGGTATCGCGAACACCGGTGCCGGCGACATCATCGACTCGTCGAGTTGTCCGATTCGTGGCTCCGTCGAGAGGAAGGACGAGATAACCGGTGAGATATAACGACGTGACATTTTCTGATTTTCTTTGCGCAGCTTGTTTACGTTGTTGCTTGTTTCCAGTGAAAGCCGACGTGCATCATCATCAGCATCATATCAACGGCGGTAGCAGCCCCAGCGTCAGCAACAGCAGCACCGCCAAGTCCTGCAAGAGCGTCAAGATGACGAACGGCGGTGGCCTGGCGTCGGATTATTCCAAGGACAGCGTGAGCGAGCACGCCTACGAGCAGATTCCCCAAGACGACGATGAATCCGACGAAGACGACGGCGACGATGTGATCGAAGACGTCAACGAGGACGTCAGGACGCCGACAGCGGCGAAACGCGGCTCGAGTCCGGCCAAGTACAATAATAATAACAACAACAACAACAACAACAACAACTCGATGTCGTCGCCGTCGCAGCTGAAGAAAATCATGGAAAACGGCAACGAGATCGGGTAAACAATTCATGCGTTATATATTTTTAACGATTTTTAACCATCGTCGAACGTCGCGACTAAAGAATCGTTCATTATTTTTTTTTTTCCACTGCAGCAGGTGTCGGTACGGCAGATCGAGCAGCGCCAGCGAGTCGTCCTCGTCGACGGTCAGCAGCAGCGAGACCCCGGGCGGCTACTCGTCCAGCGCCTCGACGCCCCCGCTGTCACGCAACAGCAGCAACGAGCGTATGAATAACAACAACAACAATATAAACAACATCAACAATAGAAATAAATTAGTCAAAGTTACAGGTAATTACGATCCGACACCTGCGATCGATATAACGATCGTTTTTAATTATTCAACGTCATCTATGTGGATATCGTAATCGAAATTTAGAGCCTCGCTCGTATAGATAATTTCTTCTTTTTCTTGACAAATGTATCATAGTCTTATATACCAATCGATAAGCGCTAATGCATTCGTCAATATATATATATCGTGCATTTACAAATACGAGTCGGTGCTCGCCGCTACTATTTTGTAAAGTAATTGGCATTTTTATACGATTAGAAAACTCGCTCCGGAAGTGAAAGCGCGCCAAAGCGTATGTACACACAAACGTATGTGCACGGGCATAGATACAAATATAGTAGTCTAGTACACGCCGATACGTGCATTATTATCGTACATTTGATTACCGATCGATCGAGGTGAATAGAAAAAAAAATGTTAGCCGCGATTGTGTCTGACGTATGAAAAAAAAATAATAACCATCATTTGTTGGTATATAATATAAAGGATTCTTGTTTTATCTATTCGACTCATATTCGTTTCGCTTATCTCGTTGCAGAGCGCAAAAATCCAGCGACGACGGGCCCGACGAGGGTAGAAAGTGAAAAGGATACGAAACCGGCAATCTCCGGACCAGGGTAAGTAGGCCGACTGCTCGATACCTGTACAGGATACTTTGTAATAATGAGCGATCGAGATGTATATCTGATGTATTGGACTTGTCGATCATGTCTGTGTGTGCTGCTATATGGGCTCGCGCGCATATATATAGCATCGAGTCGTAATTACTCGACATCTGTGTGTATAATGTATACGAGTCGAAACTCGAAATGTACTTAGTTTTAACGCGTTTGCAATTTTACAAATGCGCGAACGACGCCTGTGTATATTCAGCTTTCTATTTTGCGCGATGTCGTTGGTCTTTATGACGAAGGAATCTTGGTAGAAATGCTCGACTTATCGTAGCTATAAGTTTTTGGTTTTTGGAATGCAAAAGAGTCATTGGAACTGGGGATATGTGCTGACAAGCAGTGAAACAATAATAGCTCCACAATTTTTGGAAGATCGCTTTCGACGATATAAAATTCGCCCAATATTACATTTTCACAGTCGTGCAATTGTTATTTTTAATTTTCTAGATTTCAAGTATAAAACGTTAATAACAATAAGATTCTCAAAATTGTTTTAGGAAATATAGTGACCCAAAAGCTCGCTTTGATTTATACAATTATTTTGAGATTGCCACATGCACATTTACAGAAATAAGGATACTCGCCATCTAGTGTTGGATGCTGGCATTAATTATGATTGAATTCTTATAAACTTGTGAGCATTTTCAGTCAAAATTGATGAGAATAAAGTTTGACGGGTAAAAGCTGAGATCTAAGCTACAATGTGAACAGATTATTGATTAATTTGACTATTTAATTTGTTTATTATTGGGACCGTGGGGTATAAACCCCATACGGCCCCGAGGTAGATTGATACAGATATTAAGAAGATCTGATAGTTATGTTCGTAAAAACCGTGTTTTGACTTATACGATCATTTTGACTTTGCCACTTGCACATATACAGAAATAAGAGTACTCGTCATCTAGCGGTGGATACTCAAAATGGTATTATCGTATTGAAAGTGGTTGAAAACTGGTCTAAATTTTTTTAAACGGTTAAATTAATATTGCTAACATAATATTGCTAAAATAATTGTAATAGAAAAATCTCTAAAAACAAGCCAATTAATGACAATGTAATTAAAACACTTTAAATGACCATTTTTTGGCTATTAGGTCGTAATCAATCTTGAGCATTTCTACCAAGAATCTTACACTGAATAATTAGAGATGACGAACGAAACAAAAAATTCATTCGTTGAATTAAATTCTTTGTGCAGCGGATTTTTCGGATCTGTACCGCCCCCGCCACCGCCTCCCCTGCCACCGGCACCGGAAAACAGCGAGGAAAGCTCACGGAGCTGCAGCAAAAATTCCGCTCACGGCGAGAACTCGACGAAGGACGAGAAGAAAGACGGCAGCTTCGACCAGGTGGCCAATAGCCGAGAGTCAAAATGCGAAACCACTGCGATATCCGGTAAGTAACATAACGAAGTATACATATGTTATTACGTACACGCATAATACGGAGCATTCCTCTGCTTTTTTTTCGCGTGATTCTATTGTCCAAATTGAGCACGTGAGAGAATACGATGTTCACGCCCACGACTAATAAACAGGTTTCTCGATGGGAAGCATTTTTTTTTCTACCGATCTTTTGGCATTTTTACGAGGTTTATTTTTTGTGCCGTATCGCGGCAGTGCGAAATCGATTAATTATCAAAACGAACACGCGACAACGTCGTTCGAACGATTTTTTTACTCTTTCTGAAAAATCTCGAGGCGATACAAGATCGAGACCAAGGTTGAAGTGAACCGCGTTCGAACGAGTTTTCCCAGATATCCACTTGACATTTTCCTTATAAAACGTAGCCACTCGCGTAGCTTTATATCTAAAAACGCATCGAGTGGAAATGCCGGAAAACTCGTGTATAAAAATGTTCACCTCAACCTTCTCGGCTTCTTGATATATCTCCTCTTGTACACACGTAGCGTACGTATACGAAAACTCGGCGCGTGAATTATCTCTGATTCCGCGTCAATCAAGCCATTATCAGAGCGAGCTGCGGCTGCCTCTCCGCTCGGTGCTGCTGCGTGCTTTGCATGCCTCGGTAATGTACCTACATATACATAAGCGCAGGCCCGAGGCGAGGAAAAGCGACGCTCCGTCTGTCTGTGTTGCTGTGTGTGTATGCATGTATAATACCTCGTTTATAAAAGCGTCGGACTGGTACTGGTACTGGTACTGCTGCACTTATACACACATATGTATACGCATCGTATCGCGTTTAATTGGGCCCCGTTTTTCTACGTGTCCGCGCGCGCGTCGAAGAGGCGGTTCCCCCCGCATACATATACACACATGCCTCACTGCCAGGATACACACACACATGTGGCAGATATATACACGTGTGTGTGTGTGCGTGTATTGGTTCGGTGCGGCTATTATGGATGTGCGCGCGGCTATTACTAGACCATGGCGCTCAGGCGGGCATACAATACACTTACCTAGATTTCACTCCGACTCTGATCTATGCGCGTGTACTACGTGTATGCATGTGTGCGTTTTGTACGTAATATAATGTTTTCTCACGTCTAAAGGAGCGAACGAGGAGGAGTCCACAACTACTGCTGGTGGTGGTGGTAGTCGTCATCACCACCAACATCATCCTCATAATCATCACAGTCACAACAATCATCATCATCATCATCATCATAACAATCATCATCCGGAAGTCCATGAAAGCTCATCGACGCCCGCGTCGTCGTCAGTCGCGAGCCGAGCCGTCAACGCCAATGGTTGTAGTAACAGTAGTAGTAGTAGTAGTGTCGCCGCAGTGCCACCCGCACCGCCGCCCCCTGTAATCGCAGCCGTGATCCTCGCCACCACCACTACGGCTACGATCATCGAGGAAGAGGATCAAGATAATCAGCCTCAGCAGCAGCAACAACAGAGCAGCAATTCCAGCTGCAGCAGCAGTAGCGTTGGCAACAACGGCGGCAAGAACCAGGTGACAGCGCACCTGGTCAACAGGCACATGGTGCTGCCCTTCATACCGCCCCAGTTCGCCAGCCAGGCCGCCGACTCGGAGACGCTGCTCAAGCCGTCCGAGTATCTGCGCAGCATATGCAAGTCCACGGTGCAGCTCGCCCATCGTCATCATCAGCACAACAGCTTGTCCAAGGCCAGGTTGGTATACGGATAAACATCTTTCGATCGAACGCCTACCGTTGTCGTCGTCGTTGTTGTTGTTTTTTTTTGCCTCCGTTTTCAATCGAGCGTAATAATGTATAAGGTGAAAAATCCTTGCGGTCGGCGCGAGCGCGCGATACACACGAGATTCGAAAGTTGCGCGCAATTTTCCCTTTTGGCTTTTATGTACGTGTGCGTGTGTGTATTTATTATATCGAGGCCACTTTTTTTAACGTGCTATCGCGCGCGTTGTAAACGTATAGGCCTTTTTTTTGCTTTCTTTATTATTATTGCCACCTTTAATTTTCATCCCATACGCTATGACATAATTACTCGCGCGGGTCTCGTCGATTATTGTTTCTCTCGTCGCGCGTATACGTACACCTAATTAACGATCTCCATCCGATTTCGAAAACTCACTAAAAACGACGACGAGTAAACAAACTTTCGTCGTTTCGTGGTCGTGAAAACATTACATTAAGTACACACACACACACACACAACGATCCTGACAAAAGTAATAATATTCAATTCCATAAAGTAGCCCATGCGGATATAATATTTGAATTATAATCCTGCCACGCGGAGCGGAGGAAACGCGATCGCTAATATTCATTCTGCTGTTGCTCGCGTGCGCGTCACGCTGCAGAGAGCTCGCGATATTTTGACTCTATGTGTGTGTGTGTGTGTGTGTGTGTAGGTGTATGTATCTATCTAATTTTTTTTTTGCACGTGATCCACTTTTTTTCTTTAATGCAACTGCACATTAAGGTATGATCAATTTTTATCCAAGATCGAGGGATCGATTTTGTGCATTGTATGATATCGGTATATAAAGAGAGAAGATACATTATTGTACAAAGGAGACACGTGATACTCTGCAAGGCGATGTATGCGTCTATGTACAGTGAGCGAGCAGAGGGGAAACTCATCGGTCTGTAAAATCAAGAACGCGGAATCTTGTAAATTATTCGCGCTGAATAGAAAAAAAGTAGAACAAGAGTAGAGTGTATGAGGATAGCCGAGAGCCCCGCGTGCCAACGCGTACGAACCGATCGACGATCTACACTCGTATATAAACGAATTTAATGCATTATACCTCGTTTCGATTCTCATATTTCTTTTTTTTTCCTCTTTTTTTTTTTTAAATTCAGATCGGTAGACAATTTGGATCTGCAGGGCCGCCTGGTGGTCGAATCGATACGGCGCAAGAGCGAGTGCACCGAGGAAGCGGCCGAGGAAGAGGAAGAAGAGCAGCAGCAGCGACCACATCAAGAGGAAGAGGAGGAGGAGGAGGAGGAAACCGCAGCTACCGGCAGCAAAGAGGGGCGAGCGACGAATGGAGAGACTTTGGGACCGCCACCGCCGCCGCTACCGCCACCGCCCATGGGTCCGCTTTCGAACGGTGGCAACGGCGTCAACAATAATAATTCGAGCGTCGGTGCCGCCGCCGCCGCCGCAGCCGATCGACAGCAGCAGCAGCAATTGAGACAGCAGCAGCCGCTCGCCACCATCAGCATACAGGATCTCACGAGCGTGCAGCTGAGACGGACCAACAACAAGATGCACGCGGCCAAGACCTTCTCGGCGCCACCGAATCGCAGCGTGTCCATGACCAACGGTGAGTGCGAGCGAACTCGCGATGATTTTTTCGTTGCTTATTATAATTGGTGTTCTCGTTGGTGCAGTGTCGGAATCGTTCTTCGTCCAAAAAACCGATCTGATCGCCGAGTTGAAGAAGACGAAGGACATACCCGGCATCAAGAAGATGAAGGTCCAGCGGGCCCAGGTGGAAAAGTCCCAGGAGCAAAATATGATGTCGGAAATCAGCAAGACTTTCAGTATAGCCAACTTCGTCGATCAAGTGAGTAATAAACATTTTTATGTATCCACTTATCAATACCGATCAGATCTGCTAGAAAACTCGACGAGAAATTTTGCTTTCAGATCCCAGAAAAAGATAGCTCCGGCAACGTCATACCGATCTGGAAGCGGCAGATGCTGGCGCGCAAGGCCGCCGAGCGGGCCAAGAAGGAGCTCGAGGAGCAGATCGCCCGCGAGAACGAGGAGAAACGACAGAAGGCGATACCGCCCTGGAAGAGGCAGCTGCTCGCCAAGAAGGAGAGCTGCGGCGGCGACGCCAAGACAGCGACGACGGCGACGACGGTGCTACCGACGCCGAGGATCGAAGTGCCGATCGTGGCGAAGAAGAGCGAGCCGGCGGTGCTGGAAATTCCGCCGCCGCCGATCGAAGACAACAGCGGGAATAACAACGGCTTGAGCAACGGAAAGGCCGAAGAGACGACGACGACGACGTGCAACAACAATAACAACAATAATAATAATAACAATCACAAACGACCGAACAACGACGAGGACGACGACAACGAGACCGTGCACATCATACCCTGGAGGGCGCAGCTGCGCAAGACCAACAGCAAGCTCAACATCCTCGACTGAGGGGGCAGCTGCCGATCGACGAACGAACTTATATTTTTAGCAAAGAAAAAATGACGATGATAATATTGATAACGATTTAACGATAAGGATGTGTGTTACTCGATGCGCGAAGTAACTACACGTATGTGCTAAGGACGAAGAAAAAGAAAAATCAAAAGATGATTGTGTTTCGTTGAGTGTCTATCTATCGCGATACAAGCGAATGGAATGCGATGAAATTTGTTTAGCGTAAGAAACGAAAGATGAAAGATGTATCGTGAGATTTTTCAACGGTTGACCTTCTCTCTATTCACTTCTAATGCTGTACTCCATTATTATCATTAATTCATAAATTAATTACAATTGTAATAATTCGTTAGGTGTAAATAAAATTTATTTCGTTTATATGACTCAGGCGTACTTGATTAATCTGATTTTTTTGTGATTGGGGTATATATACAAGGGTTGAACGAATAATTGACACTTGGCTCGATGTATAAGATAGTATTGTTTTTTTTTATTCGAATGATTTTATACAAGGCAGTTACGGAAAAAGATTTTTATACAAAGAAAAGTCGAGTCGACTCCCCCTCCCCTTCCGGCATTTCGCACGAAGGAGAGTATTTCCTTACACTTTATATGAACGATATAAAAAAAAGAAAAAACAGAGAGAGGAAAAAAAAACAGAAATAAATCCTTCGTACAAATCACTGTTTCTTAGAATCTAAAAGTCAGTATGATAAAAAGGTATGTATAATGTATAATATGTATATAATAATTATTTATAAATATATTAGACGCAGATTTCATATTAAATTATACACGAAGAAAAGTATAAATGATATTAATCGTAATTTCAATGATCACCGTATCATTTTATCCGACGTAAAAAGACAAGAGTGCAAAGCGCGATCGTGTGTACATCATTAGTGTATCATGGTAATATATAAATACAATTGTCGTGGTAAAAAAAAAAAATTAACGAGACAAAAATAAAAGTAAAGGAAGAAATTGATCGATGAAGATGTCTGCGTAACTTCTCAAATCGGGTGACAGAACTCATGACGCGTGAATTACGGACCAATAATCGTCGTTCGACCAATTACAAATTACAACATGGCTCTCCGCTGACGCTCATTATCGTTCGATATTTCAGTACATTACAATGTATGCTTTATGATTTTTCGTCCTTTTATATCGCCGATTTCGCGCATCATCATCGCGAAGTCCAATAAAAGTAGCGGTGGAGAAAATATTTTCGGGATATCTCGTACCACGCCGCGTTTCATTTATTTCCTTTCCTTTTCAATACCACGATACCAACATTATCATACGTTACATATCGTTATCTATAATATTGATCCTTAACGGCTAATGTTTTTTTTCTCTCTTTCTTACTCGCATCGTTCGATAAATGTACAAACTCTCGTCGGTCGCATATACACATTATAATGTACGGGCACTTTCACTCGGAGTAACAAAAATGGAAAAGTGAACTCACACCTTTACTAGTACGCAGGATTATATCGCTCGTTTTTGACGTTTAATTTTACTTCTTTTTTTCCCTCCTTTTGATATCTTATTTGTATTGTATATCGTTTATCGTGTATATAATATTTTATGTATATAATATATTTTTCATGTCCATCGTTTTTTTATTTTATTCGTTATTGTATGTAACGTATCCGTCGCACTCTCACTTGCACATGGTACAAAAAAACACTGGCACACAAATACGCACGCACACGCACATTGATAGCGGTAAATTTTTTTATTTATAATTATTTATATCACACTCGCGTGCGTTGTGAATCAATCGTCCGAAATATTTTCTCCAATCGGAATTGTGTTCGTCGTTCAGCGCGACGCAGCAGCGGAGGAGAGATACGTCGAAAAATTTTGGTTCTCGATTGCAACTATAATACCGGCGTTCGTCACGCGATTTTTCATTGATTTTTATTTTTCCTTTATTTTTCAGGTCTTGGCCGCGCTTTGCGATATGTACATTTACATTTAGTCTAAATTTTTTTGTCTCAAATTTTTTCTAGCTCTTCGGCTCGCGATCATCGATCGATATCGTTTTTAATTTTCAACTAACTACTGGTAATACCTCTTCTAGACCTCGTGTTCGCTCAAACTCGATAACGAATCATTTTTTTTTGCGTCGTACGCGGCTTTCGATTTCTAATTATCAACACAAAAATGTTCGAATTTCGAACGGAAACCTTTTTGCTATTACAAACATTTGTTCGTCGCAGATTTATTCGAATTGGCACAAACATCAAGAATTATTTATTTTCTTTTTTAAGTCGTCAATTATCAACAAAAATCACGCACGATATTGATGTTCAGTAAGTTCATTTACTCTTGTCTTGCTTTTTTTTTCATTTATACGCGAAGCAGTTTCGATTATAAATCGGTAAATCTTATTCATAATAGTCCAGTAATAGAGAGAGAGAGAAGAGAGAGACAGAAACAACGCGTCGCTTAAAAAACCCGAGCGTTGAAATTCAAAGTCTTACGTGGTCCGCTAATATGAATTACAGTTCTGTTCTCGAGGAAGATTTTTGTCGTTGGATTCGTGAATCAGTTGTGTTATTTATACATTTTTAATTCGATGAAAAATGATTTGATTGAGTCTCCGTACAAGAATACAATTGGTGAATCGATGAATTGGTTTTTTTTTGATTTTTAGCGTCTCTCGAGTGATATCGTCGAATCCATAGACAAAGATTGACTGAATATATCTTATCCGTATTTGTTATGTTTGCATGTGTTTTTTTTTTCGTTTCGCAAAACCCTGATGGATACAAAAAATGAGTCGATGAAGTGCGATGAATTGTCGTATGTTGTGATTTATTTTTTTTGTGTATACTTTCGTCCACGGAGTAATTGGTAGACTTTTGAAAAATGCTGCAATTACTTTTTTTTTTAATTTTAATGTTCTCTTATCGTGTAAAGTCTCACGTATAGTGTGTAAAAGTTTGGCTGCAAAAGTCTGTAAAAACGTACAAACGTACAAGAATGCAATTATCAAAAACTTCACTCGTCCGTTCATTCCATATTAAATTTTTTTTTGCATTTTTTCCCGCTTTTTTTATTCCAATAATTTTCATTTTATAATAGGTTCTTAAACGTTAGGAGAAAAATCGTTTTTCATATTACGTCGCGTGACAGTCCATTATCGAAGTCTCTAAGTTACAAAGCTTTCGTTCTATACGCTTGTTATAATGTTAAGAATTTTTTTTTTTGTTTTTTTTTCGGGATTATTTTGTTATTAACTTTTTTTTCTTCTTATTCATTCTTAAACGTTAATAAGTATGTTGTGTATCAAAGTCGAATACGTCGTACGTAAAAGTAGATTAATCGGTAGACGTTTATTATTCATATACCATGTATATTATAGCATAATTACTATAGGTGTATTTTTCATCTCTTATCGCTTCAAAGTGTCAGCATTACCATTTTACTTGATTATTGTAAGAATATTTCAGCTTTACATTATATCGTACAAAGAATTTAGAAACTGTTTTTTGTTTAATATTTATATACGAATATAGATATCATATGTGTGTATACGTAGCCAAAAAGTTTTCACTACCGTACGGGTATTATCAAAGTTTTTGAGAAAAAAATTGACGTTTTTTGTGTGAAAAAAGCTTATTATTATTTGTAATTATCTTTTTTTTTTAGAAGCACGCGTTGTACTAAATTTTGCCTAATACAACGAATACCGATTGGGTTCTTATCGTAAGTTAGTCGTTTGCAGTCTCTGTCTATTTATTCAGTTACTTTTTTTTTTAATTAAATCAGTTCATTTTTTCTCCAAATATAGTCATGCATCACCTCTCGTTCTCTCTGTTTTTTTTAATCATTTTTATTATTTATTTATTTTTTTTTTTTTTTAATTTTCCAAACCCTAGCTTGTTTTATCTTCTCACACTATAGCTGTAGTTATTTTAAAGACACGCTCTTTGCAAGTTAAACAAATTTAATATCATGAAATTACGACTTTAACACAGCCAAAATCTCCTTGTATTACAGAAAAAAACCGCTCGCAATTTTTTACGGATGTTTTTTCCCCCTGTAACAAAGCTGCACGATGAAAAATTAACGTCAGACGTCGGCATCCCCCCTGTCATTTATGCAAGTGTACATTATATTATTTAATCAACAGTACGTACGTGTAACTTTTCATCATTTACCAATTATTTCTTCATTTTATTTTCATACTTTCAAGTGGTATAATTCGAGACAAGATCGAACCGAGCTCGCTGCCTTTAACGTCCCCAAAACAGCACACGCAATTAATCGTCATTGAACACTTGGTGGTTCTATATGAATTTTTTTTTTCTTCATAACGTTATTTTATTCTTTATCTTAAATTGTCGTACGAGACCAGCTAACAAATTACGGAAAACTCTATCTCGTATCGTAACACTATTATTATTGTACGAACCCTTTCTCGATTATCAAGAGTGATAATAATATAATAATAATTACTTTATCATTTGGCGCGTTTGAAAAACAAATACGCAGCAATTTTTCTTTTAAATTCAACTTGTCAATTAACTCTCGATAAATAATTGCAGTAATACAACTATCTTTGTGTAACAAAAATTTCAACTTGCATGCATACGTGGCCCATAGAAAGAAAATCGCACACCTGCAAAATCCTGCTAGAAACGCTGAACATTTAATGGCTACTTTTTAGTTATTAAACCGTTCATATTAATGATCGATTCATTAAAGTTGGTATCTGGTGCTTTGACTTATACAATTATTTCAACTTTGCCACTTGCAGATTACAGAAATAAAAATACTCGTCATCTAGTGGCGAAGTGATGAGGTTACGGTATAGTAGTAAGCTCCTCGATTTAAGGTGGTTGAGAACTGATTTAAAATTTGGTCTAAACTGTAATTTTCAAGTCATTTAAAATGCGCTTAATTTTTTTAATATATTTGTGATAATAAAACGGGCCAAAAACAAGCCACAACAATTTACTGAAAGGTAATTTAATACAATTGAAATGCCCATTTTTTGGACGTTAAGTCATCATTAATGTTCAGCATTTCTTAACAACTTTTGATTAAAAAAAAATCAAAAAAATGAAAGATCTATGGCGTTGGAAAAAATACTAATAGTCTTATTTGGAATTAATGATGCGTGCCAATAATTAAAAAGAAAAGTATCTATTTATGGTACTCAAAAGTTTCTTTATAAAAATTATATTATATTATATTTTTGTTTCATTATAATAGTAGCAATAATGATAATGATAGTAGTAATAAAAATAATAATAATGATCGTAATAGCTAATAATAATAATAATAGTCCAATTACAATATTAATGACAATAATAATAGCTAATATATATAATAACATAATTGCTGGATTCAACTTAACACTAAATAATAATGAGTATTGATGCGTGTGCAGAGATGTCAATGTGATTCACATTTCATAATAAATAAGTTAACGTGTCAAACGTAATAATCTTTAAAAAAAAAATTGATATTGTACATGGGTATTTTATAATCTACAAGTGACTTACATGAGTGTGTATCAATAATAAGCATCAAACGACTACGTGAAAAATTTTACATACGATTTTCTTTCTAGGATCGAGTTTCATTGATTTTCCCTTCTTTCTCATCTTTTTCTCCTTTATTAACAAACGCGCCTAATGTAATACAAGAAAACACACTCTGCATATTTTCCAGCTTCGCCGATGCGACCAACGCCCGAAATGTCATTTCGTCGCGCGCGTTTTCTCGAATCGAATTTCACGTGGCCTAAAAATCATCGTCGTCATCATCGTCGCTATTTTGCTAAGACTTCGTCGCTACATTCTTCGTCCCTTTCATTTTTGCTAAAAAACTTTTAACATTCGTCATCGTAATTAATAATTGTTTAATTTTTCTTTAATTCATTTATTTTTTTCCGTTATAAATACGAGCCTCCGCGTGCGAGGGCGTCTCGCGTCCGCGAGAGGCACTTAACACGCATATAAAGTTAATAGATATATTTTTTTTTGATAATGAATAGATCTAAAAATGTACAAAGTCGCAATTTTATTATTATTATTATTATTCTTTTCATTTTTTCCACATTTTTATGTGTGTTTGTGCACGCGGGTGTACGTGCTCGACAGCGCGAGAGCCGAGCGTACGATTAAAAAGCAGCGTATGTCCAATGAGTCGTTCAATTTCTCCAACCCTGTCCGTGTCACGACAAAATTTATTTTTCCGATCGGACAAAATTTTTCGCATCTTATTGTGATAGCCCACTTCTGAACGTTCAACGTTCGAATTGTGCCGTGATATTTCACAAAATTTTTTCTATACGATGCTTCGTGCACATCTAGACGCTTTTTTGTTCTCGATCATCGCGCTGACCCACGTACAATGCTTACACAGACACACACGCGCATCTTAGCGTAATTTTCCTAAAGTTTACATGGCAGTATTGGTGGTTTACTTTTTTTCTTTACATTTTTTTCACCTTGTCGCAAGGGTAAGAAAAATTTTCCTTTTTTTCTCTGTCAATTGTGTTCGTGTGTATCTGTACGTGTGAAGGGTGTGTGTTGTGTGAGTGTTACTTATGAGTATATACGTTTAAATGACAATGACAACAACTACATGCTAACGTGTACGCGCGTTTCATTACATTTAAAAATAAGAAAGTATTCAAGTATAAAATTATCATAGAAAAAGAAAGGGTATATTTTATTAATTGCAAATTAACGACGGATCTAATCGGTACCGCATCGCCTATTATTCATATATATAAAAAAAAACTCTTACAGCATAAAGTTTTGGGGTTTTCATCGATAATCCGCGATTGAACAAACGAAAATTATACAAAACGATCGTTTTCAATCATGTTACTTCGATTGTATCATATAAAACCTTCGAATCGCACGTGTGTGTTTTTTTTCTTTCATTTCTTTGTATAAAAATCTGCGCGCGTATTTATAAAAAAAAGGTATAAATAGGATCGTTTTATCGAAATCTACTTGTCATTATTTATACATCGCTATCGGTTTGTTTCACGTTCGTGATTCAAGACTTAGCTTATATTGATATAAGAGCTGTGCGCGGAATCGCCTCCGTCTGTGTATTCGTCAACATTTTATATTTATAATATATTAATAATTATAATCGAAAATTTCAAACCGTGAAAGCCTCTATATTTTTTAGTCTTTAATTTTGTAAAAATCGAACTTTCTCAGTTCTCCAATAACGCATACTTAAAGTTTTTGTTATTTTTTTTTTACCTTTATTTTTCCTGCGCTCGCTTATCAATTATATATCATTTAACGCATTTGATAATAATAATAATTATTTCTTTTATGAATTATTTTTACTATAAAAAAGTCGCGAGATGACATAAATTTCGATTCACGCATCTCGTTTAGTCTAAAATGCAACGGTATTTATAAATCGACTTACCGCAATTGTACACTCTCTCACATACCTTCGTTTTTTTCCTACGCTTACAATATATTTATAATATTCATCATATATATCTTATATATATACGCAATCGTACATTACAATTCTTACGAGCTAACTTTTTTATATAATTTATATATAATTTATATAATATATGCTTGGTAAAAAATTTTTACAATATAGTCTTGTCCGCCAAGTCTCTTAGTCTCGCTTAACACTGTATTGCTATCATACAAAATCACTTACAATAGACGAAAAAAAAAAAAAATCGAAAGAAAGAAAAAGAAAAAGAAGAACCGATCGCCAATGCCGCCCACACAGCCGAGACACGCGCGTCGTGACGCTCGTATCAATAGTGTTGTCCGATGTGCGTATAAAAATTTCTCTCCTTTCGTCAACGAATTCGAGAAAGAGAGAAAATGAGAAATGTATGTTTGTGTATGTATATTATTAATAATAGTCGAAATAGTATCGTGCGTCGTCGTACACACGCGTACGCATCGCTGCCACTTGGCGAGCATTGACAATCGTATCAAGCGCTTGATTATTTTTTATTTTTATTTTTCCTTCTCCTCGCGTCTTAGACATTAACCGCAATTCGCTTACCTATCAACAGTAAGAGTGAATAATATTTCGTGTCACAAAAATAACTAATAATCATAATGAGAGTAATCATAAATAACGTAGACGCATAGTAATAATCATGATGATAAATCGTAGCAGTAATCGTAATAATAATAAATATCGGTGATAATAATGTTTGACAATATGTAGCCAAGATAATAATCTAGTATAAGGTAGCAAATATAATAAATATGTAATAATAAAAAAAAAAATGACGAATTATCATGATTCGTGAACAAAGTTTAAAAACAGAAGGGTAAATTGTGATTAGTCTCTCTCTTGGCGTATATTTTTGCACGGACTTTATCTATGATGTACGTGCAAAATATCGCTTGGTATAATTCTTTCGACAGTAAAAAATCACACAGACACGCGTATACACACTCATACACAGAAATGGTCGTGGCATTATTATTGTTTTTTTTTTCTTTTTCATTATCGTGGAGCGTAGAATTGAAAAAAAAACAGAAATAACGAAGAAAAAAAAACACATAATTTCTACACAGCACACAATATCATTCAGTTACACCAGCTTGCCACACATACACACACATCATCGTAATAATAATCATACACACAGATCACACAAACTTGTACGCCGAGCTTACTTGGCTAATGGAGTGAGTGAAAAAAAAAAAACAAGTAAAATATGTATATATTTATATGTATAATTTTAAAAGCGGCTTCACTTTGGTACGCGATAGTAGCGAAGCACGAGGTAACCCATCGTCCTGAACACGATCAGGAAGGCCAGCAGCACCGCCGTGTTGGCCCAGAGTGGCAGTCCCTGGCCGCTGGCGCCGCCCTGCGCCTCCAGGATCGACTCGACGCGTATCGTCGTGCCGTTCTTGCACTCGGCGAACTTGCTCGGCTGCGAGCACCTGCAATGCGCGCCACACACGCACACACACACACATGATTAAAATAATGTTTGTACAAAAAAAAAAAAAACGTTTATAATAACGAGAGAAATTAGAGAGAAAGAGAAGGGAAAACTCACAGTACGGGCCCGCCGACGCCGAACTCGAGTATCTGCATGTTCTGATAGGCGTAGTGTACCATGCTGGCGTAGCGCGCCCAGGCCAGCCAGGGTGGCACCGCCGTGGCCAGATAGCCGCCCAGCAGCTGCGTCGCCAGCGTGTAGAGCGCCGAGGCCGTTATGCTCACCTGCAGATCCAGACAGCAGGCGCCCACGAAGAAGCCCACGCTCTATATGACAAAGAGAGTGACAAAATTATCATCATCATTACGTTTAAGTACGTTGCAGAAGAAAATTATGGAGCTTTTTTTCTGTATATATACCTGAGCCACGACGGTATTGAGCAGCAGGAAGCCGAGCAGAGTGAGAAACACGCCCATGCTCTGGAAGCCGAGCATCGGATAGCTGATCATGTGGTAGACGGCGGGCAGGGTGATGGTGAGCGGCAGCTCGCCGACCATCTTGGCCATGTAGTAGGCCGACAGCCGATACGAGCCCGACAGCCGCTCCTTGTTGATCACCTCGCGCTCCGGTGGAACTGGACGGATGACAAAAAAAAAAAATTTTTCATTATCGTCGTTGCGTCGATAGCGTCGTTATATTATATACCGGTAGAAATGCTAACGTGACTTAATTACCCAAAAAAATGACCATTCAAAATATTTTAAAATATATAAAAATTTTGTGTTTTACGACCCGAAAATTAATGTAAAGTTTTCAAGCGCTTTAGATACGGTAATATCACTTCGAGTCTCTACCACTAGATGGCGAGTACCCTTATTTCTGTAAATCTGCAACTGGCAAAGTCGACATAACTGTACAAGTTGTAGCCGTTCTAATGGCCTTTTATTTTAAGATATTGAGTGACTTTGAATTTGATTGAGTGACCAGAAAAATCATATCGTGCAAAAATATAAAATGAACAACTATTCAACGACGATAATATTATACTACTACACGCACAGCTCGAGAGGGCGCCGAAGTGCGCGAACAGCATCCAGTAGGTCGTGCTGAAGAACATCCAGCCCTGTATGTCGTGGAGGGAGGCCTCGGTGCGCGGCAGCCGGAACCAGAGCAGACCAGCGAGCAGGCCCAGCGCGATCGTCTGCAGCCAGTTGAGGCGCGACAGCATTCGCGGCCTCGCCTCCTGGAAATTTCTCTCCGATAATACCTGTCGCAAAAAAAACATGTCATTTATTACTCTATCCCATGTGAAATTGTATACTATACATTTATTTTATTATTATTTCGCGTACTTTGAATTGGGACCAGAAGCTCGTGGGCCACTGCCAGCTGTAGTCGTCGTCGGCCGAGCTGGCGTTACTGCTGGCGTGGCTCTGCGTGTCCAGCCACAGTGTGCGTCCCTCGTCTTCCTTGACTGTTGTTGTTGTTGTTGTTGTTGCGTCGTCGTACCCCGATTCGCAGATGGTGTGTGTATCCAAAAAAAATGCAAAGAGAAACAAAATGCTCAGACACGTTAATCATATACACACACGATGATTTGCCCAAGCCAAATGTCGTGCGCTGGCCACACATTGTATTATAGACGGGACAGGTATATATGTAGGTAGGCAGGTGGGCTCGTATTACGATAATTAGGATCTTTCCTTCCTTTTTTTTTTGCATACACACAAACGCACAAGGTCAAGGACGCAGACGTTTTATAGACGTATACTTTTCTAGTCTGCTGAGCATTAGTGGGTCATCGACACACACACACACACCGGGGCGGGATCGTGACGCGGAGGTAACAGGTTAATTATAACTCGATTCGGTGTATTGTAATGGACGATTGTATTTACGACGACGTTGACGAGTCGACGTCGACAACGTGTAAGAAAGTATAAGTATGTATTTGCAATATGTCGCGCATTTCGCATAATAAAAAGGAGCCGCGTACCATGTACTTCCGCGTCTGGCGGTAAAGAAAGCACCGAACAACGACGATACCGGGGGTAGGACGTCTCGAATCGATCATTAAGCAAAAGACACGTTATTGCAGCTCGCGTGAATTATAATAATGCGGGAGCAGCATCTATACGTGGTTCTCGCCCCCCCAAAAAATTAATCGTACAACGTACCATTATTGGTGATGTGATGCTCGTGATAATGGATGAGATGCTCGCAGAGCTGGGTCTGGCTTGGATTGTAATCCGGGCGCAGTTCCGGCGGGCAGTCGGGTCCCTGGCGGGCGGCCCGCGCCGCCGCCACGATCCGATCCCTCACCTCCTCCGGGCCCTTTATCTGTTCCACTGTAATATAAGAGACAACATTTTAACCTTATGTTCTTGAAGAAAATCATCGGTGTTTGCGCGCGATAATGATCGGTATTTATTTTATATTGATATGTACGTGCGATGCCGATTTTGCAACCGACGAAAAAAAAGAAGAAGTAGGAGAAGAAGAAACCCCAGCTGCATTTCCGTTGCGACTGCGGTCGCGCGTTAATGACCGATATCGTACGTTATCTGCACTGGACGTATGCGAAGCGAAAAAAAATGTAACGTGTATATCATCAAAATACACACACACGAGTCGCCACGACGCGAATATGTAATGCAACGTATAATATATTTTTGAGCATTTCGTCGAGTTATTTTTGCGCGCGGGTCAACGAACCGTAACAAAAAAAGAAAAGAAAAGAACGAAAAGAAAGAAAGAAAGAAAGAAACAACGAAAAATAAAAATTGCTCGTAAAAAATATAACGGATGTGCTCTCTTTCTCCTCGGCTGCAGCGTTCAATCAAGTCCTCTTCGCGCACTCGCGAGTGAGAGAGAGGCAATCATTCGCAGCGCGAGAGAAGCACCAAGAGAATAAAAAGATTTTACTTTTCTTTGGGCGACTTTCTTGGGCGCGCAGCAGCAGCAGAAGTGCATGAGTGAGTAAGCGAGAGAAAATTATCATTACTCAAATTGAGAGAAGCTGCGCATATTACGTTTTTATTATTTCTGCGTCCCAAATTGATTTTTCTTCGGTGTATACAGTGCAGCGCAGCGCGAAACAAAAGAAATACTTACACACGTATATTTGTAATAATAATAAGTCGAGTACTCGTAAACCTATATAACACAAATTACTCGGCAGCTCGCGATTATTACTCGGTCGTGTGCCTTCGTTATACATATCTCGCTCGCGTTCCTATTATCATCATTATCATCATTATCGTCATCGTTTCCTCGTAATAATTAATATCGAACGAATGTAAAAAAACTTATATATTATATGCTCACGTATAAGATCGGCAGGATTGTAATGTGGCAGGAGATTGAGGCCGATGGTGGAGAAGAAGCGGCCGATGTTGGCCGTCGAGCCGTAATAGGCCACCTGGCCGCGACTCAGCAGCAGCAGCTTGTTGAAGCTGTGAAACATTCGAGAGCTCGGCTGGTGCACCGTGACGACGATGCTCTTGCCCTCCTGCTCGGCGTACTTCTTCAGTCGGGATATCAGCGCCTGGGCGGAATGCGAGTCCAGGCCGCTCGTCGGTTCCTGCGGCGGCGACGAGATCATTATTTTTTTGTAAATTTTAATTCGCACGCGAGTGAGAAGAATGAAAAAAAGAGAGAGAGAGAGAAATGAAGTCTCGCGAGTTTCACCCAAATTCGCAGGATTGATGGGATGATGATTCTTCATTTTCTTTCTCTCTCTTTCTTTTTCTTTTTTCGTCATTACGTATGTGCATAATTCGTACATACGTATACAGCAACAAAGTACAGTATGAAAGTTTTCACTTGGTGTCGACAGCGTTGAAAAAAAATAATTAAAAAATATGTACACAATACTTACGTCGAGGAGCATCAACGACGGATTCGTAAGCAGCTCGCAGGCTATGCTCGTTCGTTTTTTCTCGCCACCCGACAGACCTCGTTTCGTGTAATCTCCAACGACTGCGGGAATGAGAAGAAGAAAAAGAAAATAATAATAAGACATGCAACACGTATTAATCACTTACATTATCGATCGCTTCTAATCGTGCGTAATGAAGAATTTTAATGCGATATGAAAAAAAAATATATACTCACTGGTATCCTGACAAGCACCAAGATCGAGGACCTCGATTATATGATCGACGCATTGCATCTTCTGCGAATGAGAAAGTGTATCCGGAAGCCTGAGGCGCGCCTGGTACTGAAACGAGACCAAGCGCAACATCGTCGTTTTAATAATGCGTATATATTCATTTATTTATCGGTACGCGGCTGCACCTCGCGTGCCACAGCCGTGTTCAGTTTATTTTTATACTAGTACTATTTCTTCATATTATTTTTTTTTTTGTGTTACATTAATATTATACAGGTTTCTAGCAGTACGGTCGTGCGCGCCATTGGAACGTATGCAAACATTTTTCTTTATTCTTTCAAACATTTTGTACTCGCTGCTATATAATATGAAGCTCCAAAGCAAGATGGTCAATGAACTCGTTCGACGATGAACGCATAAATCATACGATCGTTACGTATATCGGTTGGACTTTCAACGATCGTATTCTGTGCATTATATTTTATAAACAAATCAGGGCCCCACTTAAACACACGGACGTACGATGGGAGGGTAAAATCGCGGCGCCGGAGGGCATTGGACTTGGAATTACGATTTTGCGACCTAGTTTTGTTACACACGCACACACACACACATATTTATATATTATGAGTATAACTCTCGTGCCGGCGCAATGAAAATATTTAATTGCGGCTTTTGTGTTTATGCCTCTTACACGAGCTGCTACACACACACACACAAATGTAATATACATAACATCTCGATGTACACGTGAGCAGTGGCACGTACGTATAGAGCGCGGCATTACTCCCTCTCTCGAGCTTTCGAATAAAAAAAAAGAAGAAGAGATGTATAGGAATTCTAAAGCGACAAAAGGATCACCTCGTGTTTATAATAATATTCTACGAACGCTCGAAAAATCCTGTCCCATTTAATATGTAATATATAACGATCGAGTCTGGCCTAATAGTGTACTATACTACTTGATACGAGCTAAATAAAACTCGATGCCGCTTCTAAATATTCACGCATACGCGTTCGCAATTACATATACATCGGACAGCAGCAGCAGCGGACTCGATTCTATCTAGACAAGCCGATCGTCGTTAATTGCATTAGAGTATGCGCGCATACACGTATATGTATGTAGGTAAAATAAACCAAATTGAGCTTTGATCGAGCTCGCAACGAGCCATATGTAAACGAGCGAGGCCTGCGCACATTTGGAAAGTTCTATTAATCGGAGCTCGTATATAATATACATATGGATATTATTTAAGCGTGTGTGTGTTTATGTATGTGCTGCAGTCGCTGCAATATGCGCGTCTCAACGGGCGAGATGCTGCCGCTGCTGCTGCTGAACATCGTTTTGATATATTGTAACGTTACATACTGCTCCCGTACATATAATATGTGCGCAGTTGCGACGTTATCCAAACTTTTGCGCGATATTATGTACACATAGCGTATGCGCGAGCGTGTGTGTGGATGTGTGAATTTTGAGACGCGCCCGCGAGCGACACATGCAAAATAGCACTTCACGTGCACGAGAGAGAGAGAAAACTCGACGTCATAACTCGGTCAGTGAACCTTTTTCCCGTTTAACGACGTTGCGCTCGTTCGCCATCGGTAAATACGCGTGTGTACGTGTGTGCGCGCGTTTGTGTTTACACACATACGAAAATGCGAGCGTTACACATATAATAACCGCGTGGTATACGTTTGCGCGAGAAACATGTTTGCCGCTGGAGCTTTTTTAAAAATATGTATACTTACAAATTCGCCAGCGGCAAGTGGGAGGCGGGGACAAAAAAAAACGAACGAGTTCGCGCGAAACGCGTCTATTTTGTCGGTTTTGATTATATATCCGACGAGATCGGATTTTATCACTGTCTTATACGAACGCTTTTTTTGTGGCGCGAATTCCAAAGGAAAAAAAGAAAAAGTAGAAACGCTTAACATTGATTATGTCCAAAAAGTGACCATTTAAATTTACAGTGTTTTAAATTACACCATAATTTTTCTGTTGCAGTTATCTTGCAAATACATTTTAAATGATCTGAAAATGACAATTTAATTGTTTCGAAAAATGCAGACAAGTCAATACTTATACTTCGAGCCTTCTCCGCTAGATGGCGAGTACCTTAATTCTATAAATCCACGAATGGGGTGTGTATTGAAGCCAATAAAGCTTCAATTCCAAATAGAGTACTTATAAAGTGATAAACATATAATTCAGAGTTCAAAAATTTGAAACGGATGTGCCTACATCAACTGTCTCAAAAAAATTGATTAATGAAATCATTGTAACAAATTATTCAGCATACCTTACTCTTAAAAATATAATAGAAAGGATAATCGGAATTAACGATGTCTTCTATATTAGCCATTCGATTGAAAACCCAAGACATAGGCATAATTTTAAGAGTTTCATAATCAACTCACAACAATTTAGGACTATTGGTTGCCAAATATAAGCGTCAATGTTATTGAATTCAATATTTATTGACGTTTTACATTTCAAATGTGAAAATTTTTATATCGGTCCAAAAATGATTACGAAATGTCTAGAAGAACTTTTTCGTTAGCCAAAAACTATAGCCACAAAATATCGATCATAATTTCTACCCAGTACATTCGCGTGAACTCGAGCTTGAGCAAACTCTCTTCAACGCACAAACTACACACACACACAGATACATTTTCGGCCGAGCTATGTTTATATTGCATATTTTTGCGTGCGTGCGTGCACAGAACGTACATACGCGTACGTGCACGAGCAGCACTCGAGGCCCAAATGGTCCTCCTCCTCCCCGAAAAAAAGGCCCGTTACTCGAGTGCACATTCGACGCACGCGCGTATATACGTACTTTAATACGCATCGAAACGCACGAAGAACGAGAGAGAGAGAGAGAAAGAACGCGGAAGGAAGGGCCAAATAATAGTACGGCATTATGCGATATGTATTTGCAGCGCGCGAAACGAGACCGGCGCATTCGCTCACGCGTCGTACGCATTTGCGCGAATGATTTTCTTTTCTTTTCTTTTCTTTGCATCTGCGTAATTGTCGATAATTTAATGCCGATTTGTGATTATACCTTACCGATCATTTCGTCATTTTTGACCTTACGCCGTATCAATCCTATTATTTAAATTTTCTTTTATAAGAAAATAATGTACAAATTCGTTTATCCTTTGTCTGAAATGTATTAAATATATATTGGTCGAATTCGTGAATCTATATATACGCGTTAGTATCCGCGTGTAAGTGTGTGTGTGTGTGTGTGTGTGTGCGAGTGTGTTTGCGCAGAGATCGGTAACGGTGTATTATTTACGCGTCGCCGTTTCTCAATATAAACCACGACCTTCTTGAAATTCATGGAATTCAAGGTCGGACATTGACTATATAACACACACATACAAACACACACGAACACTCGTGTACAAGTGTGTGTGTGTGTATGCAATATATGCAGCAGGCCCCGCGAGTCCAGACCCATGTGTATACATATACCCACACGCGTGCAGTGCGTAAATGTGCGTGTATATATATGCGAAATGCTCGACCAAACGGTATATTACCGACGCCCGCTTGCGATACAACGAACGTGCTGCAGCAGCAGCAGCAGCAGCGAAAGAAGCAGCTCTCGGCGCGCATCAGCTGCGAGCGAGCGCGAAAAACCAGTTCGGACAAAAGGTGGCTTTTATGCTCGCGTAACAGTATTATATATCGCGTATAAGTGTGTGTGTGCGTGCGTGCGTGTGTAAAATGCACAAACACAGGCGGCGCTCGATGCACTGCAGCGGCAGCAGCGCCCGCAAACGAAAGAAAGAAAGAAAGAAAGAAAGAAAGATGGAAGGAAGAGAAAAAAAAAAGCGCGTGCGTACAAAGTGTAGTAGAAGGCAAAGATGGAACGAAAGAAGACGAGAGGACGGAGGAAGAGGACGAAGTAAGAAAAGGATAGAAGCTGGTCCAAGATAGTATACATGTAGTATAAGTGCGCGGGGTGAAAAGAAAGAGAGAAATGTAACAGTGACCGTAATTTCGCGCGCAGTGTGCGTGCCGTATACGAAACTGCACGGTGCATAATGCATAAGCACGACTCTCCCTCTCCCTGAGCAGTAAACACACACACACACACATACATTTATACTCGAGAGAGACTCGAACTCGGAGAGGGACGTGACGAATGCACGCACACACTATATACACGATGCAAATGCATTAGTGTGCACGTGCGCTTATATATATGCTATATACATGTAAATGAGCAGCTGCGCTTTTTTCGCGGTTTCCGCTATTGTCGTCTCGAGAGAGAGAGAGAGAGAGGAGGCCGCATCGCGTGCGCTACGGATCCACTACGGGGCATGCGTATATAATATAAACTCGGCCCAAGCCCAAGATGACGACGAGTGTATAATGTTTGCGGGGGAAAAAGGTAGAGAGAGAGCGAGAGAGCAAGAAAGAAAAAAAGTTTGAAAAGACTCGTTCTTTCATCTTTTTATGGGTCATTTCTTTCGGCAGCTCGGGCGCAGCGCGGCAGCGGCAGCAGCTTTTCCATTAGGTACGCACCAGGAGTTGAAAAGACCACAAGAGAGAGAAAGAGGCAAAAAAGAGCAAGAACATAGTTATAGCTTTCGGTAAGATTGTAATGCACCGAAAAAAAAAAAAAAAAAAAAAAAACTGGTGAGAAAAATTAATNAAAAAAAAAAAGGAAGGAGGAAAAGAAACGGGGCTTTTTTCGGCATTACTCTCGAGAGCATTATGCGCAGGTACGTGTGTGTGCATATGCACACGCGAGAGAGAGAGAGAGAGAGAGAAAATGTACGGAATATGAGAAAAGACAGGCGTTGATGTACAAAGAACGACGCAGCACACGTGTGCGGAGGTAGGCGATGCACATACAAGCTCGATATGCAAATGGGGACTATAACGTCGAAGCTTTTCGCTCCGAAACGACGAGAAACACACACGTGCGCGTGTGTATCGCGCTGCGAAAAGCTGGAAAAACGATAATGATACGGGCCGGGGAGTGTAGAGAAAAGAAGAGCTACTGCGTATTACGCGTCATTTGCCCGCGCGACGATGATCGGCACACAAAGGTATAGTACTGCACGATAGCACGCGTCGCGAAATTCGCAAGTTGACGATCTTTTTCTATCTCTCTGTCCAGCTATCTAGGCACATTTCATGAGACGTACAGTGCATAGCCGCGACGGCGCCGGAAAATATCATAATCTAGCCTGACGTAACGCGTGTGTGTCTGCACATGCACGATGCCCGAAATTTATCGTAAATACGAGTAGGAGAAAACCCCCAGAGCGAATAGGTGAAAAAAGAGCGAAACGATATAATAAATAAGCGTTCGGAGCGGGAGGTAAAGAAAATCTTACATAAATCCGACGACTGCGTGTACACGTATATACGTGAGAATTGCCGATGTGCCGTTTGTGCGAATAAACGCCGCGCGCGTACTACGCGTAAAATAGAGAAAACGTCGCGCGCGCGCGTAAATAAGCTCTCCATCGCGACGAAATAAAGAGAGAAAGAAAAATTCATGCGTATAATAACACGCGGTATACGGGCACCGCACCGAGAAAGAGAAAAGAAAAGCAAAGCCGCACGCGGGACGGAGACACGACACACACGACAAAAAAAAATGAAGAAGAAAAAGAGGCGCCGTGTGCTTATACATATACCTATATAGAGAAAAGCTCGGCCAATTGCACAACTCGTGTCATTCGTTAAATCACGTCGTCCGTTTGTGCGTGCGACTATACCGCGATCGTATCCTATCCACAGCAACCAGCCACTACTACAACGCGGCAAATATTCTATTAATGTAATTGTATATCTATACACGACTACCTGGCGCTTATAGGTGACGTGTTTTGCGCTGCTTACAGCACATATATGTATATACGCACATTGGAGAAAATCTAACCGATTTCACCGGATGAACAGGTCGATGTTGCTGCTGCTGTTGCTACGACGGCGGCTATAATATTGTATCCTGCTGCTGCTGCGATTTCTATAATGATAACCCGCTGCGATCGACGACGCGTAGGTATATAATACATATGTGTGTGCGACGACGACCCCTTGTTCCGGGGGACTCCTATATATGCGATATACATAAGATTTAATTACCGCAGTGGCGGCAGTAGTAGCAGCAGCAAACGATCTCCGGATCGTAAATATGTTTTTCTCTCTCTCTCTCTTATCTCTTTCACTCTCACGAGAATATCTTTCTTTCTTTTTCTCTCTATACGTTCAGGCTCGATTCTCGATTCTCGCGCGCGCGAGAAGAAATCAATGTGTCTCCGAGCGCGCTTACGTACAGCAGCAGCAGCACACATAATTGAACTTCCTTCTCTTCGCGCATATGTATAGATATCCAATACATAAATGTTTTCCCTTGGGACGCATAGCTTCGGTGGCAACTGTATACACTACCTGCTGCCGGCTTTCACGAAAGAATCGCAGAGGAGCTGACTCTTCTTAATACTAGTCTCTTCCTCGAGCGCACGCAGTCGATATAGCAGCTTGTGGCTGTGGCAGCTAAAGCAGCAGCAGCAGCAGCAGCAAAGGCAATATATTAAAACAGGAATGGAGCTGAAATTTTCATGGGGGATATACGTGTTTGTGGGACAGGTCGACGCTTCGTTGAGCTCTGTGTGACTGCGCACAGACACAGACACACAGTCGTAGCACAGCCACGACTCCAGTGTGGCGAGGCACATACAACAAGGATATCCTAGTAGAAAGGATCGGAAAGTAGGATTTCGTATACGATTATCAATATTTATTGGCCTACTATTTGCCGCGGCGCAACCTGTATACATACACACGCGGTATCGCGAAGAAAACGTCCGCACGCGCGCGTTTATTTATACAGACGCGAGAGAGAGAGAGCGGCAGAGACGATAATTATTTTTAACAAATCGATAAATCGCAGCGATCGTTAATTGCTTATCTTTAATTCGATACAGCATGAATACGCGATTTATGCAAGCACGTCTTCCTCGATCAACGGCGACAAATTATCATAACGGTATGACACAAACCCGTCGCGCTAAAATTCATCCTATTTTTCCCAACGTCATATGTATGTACGTACCTCGAGCGTCTGCCTCAGGGTGAGATCCGGAAAGAAGACGTCCTGCTGCTGCACGTAGCAGATGCGCCGGCGCCAGCGCTTGGTCAGTCGCTCGCGATTCATCCAGATCTCGCCGCTGTCGTGGCCTATCCTGCCCGACAGGCAGTTGAGGAGGGTCGACTTGCCGCAGCCCGACGGTCCCATGACGGCCAGTAGCTCGCCGGGCTTGACGACGCCCGAGACGTCGCGCAGCAGCGAGCGCTTCTCCTTGACCACTTGCAGATTGCGGAAGACCAATTGGACCGGGCGCGAGTCCAGCGGACACGCCAACTGTAACGCCGAGCTTTCCACTCTGAAATACGAAATTACATCGATATTAAGTATATGATTTTCAGTTCGATTATGCAATTTATCGATACTTATACGTATATAAGCTTGTAATAACGGTAATTTGGATGTCGGTGCGCACATAAATGTGCGTCAAAATATTAATCGAATATCAATTCGCATCGTTAATCAAAAGGGGGGGGGGGGNAAGGGGGGGGGGGGGTATCGTAACGTTATATTCCCCACCGCGAGGCGATAATTACGTTTTGTGCTCGACGACTCGAGCACCGAGCCTCGCGATGTGCGTCCGCGTGTGCGCACATTATTATATTATGTACATATGAATGTGTCTGACTTGACTCTCTCTCTGTCTCTCTCTCGAGTAGCGGCCAATCGATAAATCGATTATAACGTAGGCCGCGATGCACTCGACGATCGTAAAATATTCCTATATAAATGCATATAACTCGGTTATGTATAAATTTTTTACCATCGCGAAAATTGTCAAAATAAAACGCGTCTGTTTATATGTTATTTATATGCATCGACGATTAAATAGACATCGCTATGCTGAAATTACGTAGCGAGTCTCTCTCGCGCGATTTCTTATTGCCTCCGCCACATACGCTGCGTCGAAAGAAAAGAGAGAAGCTGCAGCAGCAACGATGAGAAAAAAAAGGCGTTGACATAATCTTGAAATGACGAACGATGGAAAGCTGTATTACATGGACGTGAACGTTCGTGGCATTTAGGATATTTCCACGTCCGCGTATCTCTCAAGGTCACGCAGCAGCGGCAGCGATGCATGTGGAACGCGCGAAAGAATTTTCTTCCTTTCTTTCGCTATATACTTCGCTTCTTTCTTTCTCTCTCTCTCTCTCTCTCTCTCTCTCTCGTGTTCCTATCTTTCTCGCTCGCTATGCGTCGCAATTCACGACGACGATGATGATGATGATGCGCGCCTGTCATCGTGTATACGCGACTTTCTAACGAAATACCAGAGTCGCAAAAAAGAGCTATGCGCTATACGAGTGAGGCAAAGTTTTGCGTTTATCGTACGAATAAGTGTGCATTCTAATGGAATAATCGAAGTGGGTATATTTTGGGGAACGTGATACACCGGATTATTTATTTTCGTAAGAAAAAGTTACAATTTTTCAAGGGAAACTAGAGTTTTCTAGGGTTATTTGGGGTTAAAATTAAATTAAAAAAGCAAGTAAACATTTCATCCCGATGTAAACAACTTCGAAAAAGCACTATCAGCAATTTCTGTACTACTCGAGTCTCTTTCTCTATTTTCTCCTATTTTCCTCTCTCTCTCCAACTCGTATTTATTTTTCCTCGCGCGAGCTTTGTTCTTTTTCCGCTGCCGATCGTCGCGTGCCTCGTTGCGTATACACATTTGCTAATACCGATCGCGCGCTCGCGCTCGCGTACGTGATGCACACACACACACATGCGGCAACAGCAGTACACATCATCATCGAGTGTAACAGTTTTCATTTTCTTTCCTTATATATACCGCTCGAAGCACGTATATATATATAAAATAGTTTACGCGCGCGCGCTCGCGTGAAAGTGAGAGAGAAGTTAAAGAGCGCATGTAATTGCTCTATTCTAAGGCCGGCACAGCTTCGCGCGGGTTGTCTTTGAGTCCCGATAATTGCGAATTGATCCGACGATTACAAATTGCGACCGATCGAGACAAAAAATACATGTATCTATGTGTGTGAATGTGTGTGTAAGCTACGTGCGATCGATCGCTTTAATGTACGAAAAGGTCACTAGCCTCTTTTTCTTTCGCTCGCGATTTTCTCTCTCTCTCTCTCCCTCTTCCTTTGGTTATCGATACTCGAGTAGCTTTTTTTTTCGCACGCGCACTCACACATCCCGAATAATGTACACAAACAAAAGGTTCGATTACCGATCGCGAACGCTGCTACTTGCTGTTGCCGCCATCGCCTCGAAGACTCCCCCTACTCGACTTTTCGCTTCTCCGATCTTTTTTTTTCTTTCTTTCTTTCTTTCTGTTCCTCGCGTGTACACGAGCTCTCTTTCTCTCTCTCTCTCTCTCTCTCTCTGTATATATACGTATGTATATCATGCGATACATATAGCCGATATAATACAGGCGTAATGTGGGGCTCTCGAATTTCGGCCCCAAAGTGTGTATTGTGTGCGCGCGTGCACGCGCGTGCATTTTCGGTGTCTTTGACCTCTGCCTGCTGCTGCTGCTGCTGCTGCTGCGTACTCGGTGTGTGCGCCATGGGCCGTTTTATATATACAAAAAATATATATATAGATATAGATAGATGTATACAGTGCAGTTAGGAATTAATTACCCATTGTCGAGAAATAAAGACAACGACGGCGGTGCACGTGTGTGCGCGCCTGCATGGAAACTATATTCTGTATCGTACTTGTATTTATATATATACGACGATGATGATAAGCGACTCGAGCGCGCGCGACATCTGCGGCGGCGGCGGCGGTGTTGGTTGGTTCATATTATAAATATATAGGCATATGTTTTCAAGTGCAATGCACCCGCACGACATCTGCATGTGTGTATACGTGTGTATGCACATATATAAAGCGACAACGATTTTTGCGCCGATGGGAGAGAGAGAGAGAGAGAGAGAGAGAGAGAGAAAGGAAAGCGTATGCATCAACAACAATAACAACAACGACGAAAAAAAATGAAGACTCCCTGCGTGCAGTGCTCGATTATATATACACACACACACACACACACAATATGCATTAAAGGCAAAAGCAGCACATAGGAGAGCGTGTTATATATGAATTGCCACGGCAATATCGCGTCATCTTTCACGCCGACGACGACTACTACTACTCCCGGCTGCGGCTCTCGCTCGAGTCGTCGTCGTCGTCGGTTCGTTGAACCGCCTCTCTCGCTCGCGACTGCACTCCGTGTTGCTCCGCTGCCGCTGCTGCTGCTGCTGCACTTTTGCGATATGTATAACGTTCGACTCTATATATTGCACTGCGCACAGCTTCTTAGCTCGTGCGTACGCATACGTGCGCGTTGTAATATACGACGCGTGGGTATCTATTGCAGCAGCAACAGCAGCAGCTTCTATGTGTACTGCGGCGACTCTCGTTAATGCGGACGATATATTTATCGATGTATATATATTTCCGTCTCGCGCGATAAACATTGCGAGGGACGATGATGGTCAATGATCCAAACCGTGTACTACGCATACGGAAAAAATACTTTTAGAAATTTCTACGCAAGGAGGAGCTTTTATCTCCAAAGTCACTCGTCCGTTTGTTTTCCTACCGATTGGAAACACCTCGTACGCGAAGAGCTCATCGCGAAATCGAACCCAAAGTACCCGAACTCGGAGCGAAAAAAAAATATATATCGGTGAGTACATATATTACACGGTGCAGTATATGCGCGTCCGATATAACGGAGCGTCCGTTTTCTCTCTCGGCCTGCATGTTCGCATGCGAATTCTTCGAAGTTTGCTCGAAAGCTCGTTTTCATCGATCGATCGACGCGAGCTTTGTGTGTGCACATTACGTGCAACAGCAGCAGCAGCAGAACACGTTGAAAAACAAAAGCCTACACCGAAGAGTAAAAGAGAGAACGAGAGAGAGGGAGAAAGGCTTGTGAGCCGCTCTCTCAGGGCGGCGGCGTCGGCAGCGGCGGTGCTTTAAAATGTAGGCTAATATTAGACGCTCGCTCGCGCGCGCGCAAGAGCTAATAAGACGTATACACACACATACACGAGTTTCGAGAAAAGTATATAGCGCGCGCCTCGAGTCTCGTGGAGAGAAAATTGCGCGCTTCGAGGCGCTTGATGAATTGAAACGTATTTTTCAATTACCGCGGCCGGCGTAGTAGGAGAAAGAGAGAGAGAGAGAGAGAGACCGAGCTTTCGGACGAATGTATTATATACACGAGAATGTATGTATAAAAGCTCGGTCGCTCGACTCGAGAGCGAAATAGTTTGTAAACTCGTCACGAAAGTTGTTCTCTCGTGCCTGTGTATCTCGTGTCGCGCGCGATGCATTTATAAAAGAAACGCGCCCGCGCGCGCAATTATATAAATGTAATTTCGTACATCTCTTTCTTTCGTGTAGAATAGATACTGCGCTCTACGCGGGAGCTTCTGTCGATCGATTGTATAAACTTCGAGAGCAACGGCAGAGAGAGAGAGAGAGAGAGAGAGAAAAGAAGCAGAGAAGAAGAAAAAAACAACGATACAAACATAGTATAAAGTGAAAGCAGGGAGAGCCGTTTAAATTGACCTTTTTTTATTTTCATTTTTTTTTTTTGTTTTGTTTACCCACGCAAGACTTATCTTATCTCGAACGGTTGTGTATTTGCTCGAACGCGAACCCGAACTACCTGCTCCACTGTGCGTATCGATACGCGTGTGCATCAGCGAACGACTTGCAGGAAAAAAAGCGCAGACCAAACGTGCCGAGGAACGCGACGGCGAGCTTAAAAACGACATGCCCGCGCGTGGGCGAACGTTAAAAGAGAGAAGCCGAGAAAGAAAGAGTGGATTATCGATCGAATTGTAAACGCAGAGACGTAATCTTCGGTCAAACGCGTAATACTTACATCTTTATTATGATGTATACGAACGCGAGCAGGAATCTCAATTTTTGTCATGTTGTTTTCGTGTTGTGTACGTTTATAAAAGCTCTCGTGTGTATCGAATTTTTCAGAGCGAACGTGTGCCTACGCATAACGCATGCGAATCATCTCGCAACATAACAGGAGTATAGGTATATCGCTTATTGTAACATCCAAAAGTTTTTATACGTTTTCGCATCGATCGACGATATTCGGACACGGGGAATGGACGAACGTATCGCGTTTACGCGCAACTTTACTAAAGGCCGCGTACATCCATTCTTCCTTCCTTTTTTTTTATTCCTTCTTGTCTCTTATTCTTCTACTTTTTTTTTGTACGCTCGTCGATGCTCAGCCTCGACGCGCATATAAACGTAAAAGCGCCCGAGAAATCAAGCGTACGCCTGTTTTCGGAAGCCTTGGTTGGATGGAAAAGCTTTCGAAAGCTCACAGCCACTCAAAGGCACACACAAACACAAACATAAAGCCACACACTTATCATCATCGATGCTGCCACTGCTACTCAGCTACCGCTCGGCCTCAGACTACTCGAGAAAGCTCGAGAGAGGCATATATACTACGTACATATATTGCGTATATATATATATATATGTACAGACGCAGTAGATATTATCTCTCTGCCAAGCAAATTAAGCTCGATACACACGGAGCTTTCTCTCTATTACGTACCGTCCGCAGAGCGAGCGAGCGAGCGAGATAGGGAACGAAGTTTATGTATGTGTGTATGTGTGCTAGTGTAGGATATATGGAAGCGATCGCCGACGCGCGCGAACGGCCAACAGTCGTTGTCGGAGTTCGTTGAACCTTTCCCTATTGCTATAAGGTGATCGAACCTGTGCCTCATGTGTGTGTGTGTATATTGCGATATATAGAATTCTCTCTCTCTACGCGAGGCTGATGCTGCTGATGCTGATGCCGATGCTCTCGGCACTTGCAGTCGGTGCATTTGAGAAACTTTGAACCTAACGGTATATACGTGTACTGACTCTTTGGCTCCGATCTTGCGCTGCTGCTGCCGCTTGATTTATGCGCGCCGTGAGGCATTAATACATGCATAATATATCTGTGTGTGTGTTTGTACGTGTATATAAAGGAGACCCGATGACCTTGATAGACGTCGCGTTTGAGCTCGTCACGAGCAGCAGCAGCAGCGGAGACGGAAAAAAGATCCAGATGATAAATGGATCGTGATGCATACATACACATGGCAGCGATAACACCTTTCTCGTAACGAAGATACTACTACTTTTTCTTCCTCCCATTTCTTTTTATTCTCCCTTCCCGTTTCGTTTCGTTTCGTTTCGTTTCGTTTCGTTTCGTTGAGGTGCATCGAGCTGAAAGTAAGCTCTCTGTGTTCGGCTGCTATTTTTTTTTATTTTTATTTTTGTTTTTAATTTTCTCCAGCACTGCTGCTGCTGTTACAAATGCTGCTGCTGCTGCTGCTGCTGACCTCGATGTGCAAGTTGTACACCCCGTAATTACATGCATTCTTTCTCTTTCTCTCTTGTTCTCTTCGTCTAATGTACATATCGAGCGCGCGCCTGCCTCTTGGAATATATATGTATACGTGCACGCGCGTACATGAATTTTTGCCATTTCACGCGAGTCTGCGCTCGCGCGCATATTTTTACAGACGCATATTACAAACGCGCGACGCGTAAAAATCTCGGTGACTATTCTTCTAACCAAAGCTCGAGCTTTTCGGCTCGAGATCGAAGGATATATCTCAAGGTTCACGACTCGAAAGTACAGAAAAGACACTTTTAGACGGATCTCGAATCGTAGCGGTGTCTCGCACTTCGCCATATTCTATTTTCGCATAACGCGCGTATTATATGCGCGCGCGAGGAGCACGTGAAAGCTGCGACGACGAACAAATGCGCAGCGAGCCCGAGTGAAAAACGCACACTGCAAGCGCAAACGTGCATATGAAACCGTGCATTATTTCATGCAGCTCGTGTATTCATGTGCCGTGAAAACATCACATGGGATTCTCAACGCTCGCAAAAAAGCTCGCGCGTACAAAATTTCTCGATGGGCGTTCGAAATTTTCACGAGTTACGGACGAATCCATGCGAATGCGTACGTACGAGGCTCGAGCTTTTGTTTTTAACGTAAAAATGCGTTACATTTAATTTGCTGCTAGATACGCTTTGTAAACATCAAAGTAGCGCACATGCGACTCGTTGGAATCGGTACGAATGGCGCCACGATTAAACACTCGTGTGATCTTTTTTTGTTTTGGCTTCTTGCTGCTAAAACGCGATTCAATGGTTCAATCGATTGATGCGCGTTTTGCATATGTACATGCACGAACGACACTTTTAAAAGGACAAAGAAATGTTCGAACTACAATGGTGTACGTACACATGTGCGTCATAGGTGCAGAGTGAAAGCTGCAAACGCGTAGAGCGTTATTTTTTCATTTTGCGTCGACGTAAACAACTCTATACAACAACAACAACTGCTTTACGACGCTCAGAAGTGCTCATTACGTATACACTTTGATTTTTTAATTTTAAATATTTCTTATATGTTTTTTTTAATTTACTTCATTAAAAAATATATTAAACAGAAAGAAAAACGCTTAAATATACTATAAATTTGGTTTGTAGCTACACGTATATAAACATACACTGCAATGATTGGAAACTTACATGCATCTGTCCATACAATTTATATAAAAGTAGATCGACTACATTGTTTACGTTAAGAGATACGACATCTATTGGTGATTACTGTCATTACAAGTTTGAAAACTAAGGTATCACAACATTGATTAAATTTATTATCCGGCACCTTCCAAAAATCTACAGATGTCCATACGTATTTTTACTTCAGTTATACAATGTTCAACATAGACATAGACATTGTTGTACAATATCACATGTATGACTCAATTATGCATTGTGTCGGTGTGAGTTCAGAGATATATATGATTCTTTTGCGTGAATATTTCTCTGCATATATCGCAAGTATGCGCAAGCAAATTATGCGCCTGTACGAACGACATCTTCATTACAGTTTCGGTGTATAAGTTCGGCGAGTTCCTTTATTTAACGCAGTACATGACTGCGTATGGGATGTCGACGGTAGAGGGGGAAAATATCACTGAAGAGCTATCCCAATTACGGCGTCTCCTCGCTAATATACGCAGTAGTGCGTTCAGTCTCTAGCGAGTATACGAATTAGTCGGTAAACAAGTGCTCATAAGGTGAAATCGAGGTTCAGTGTTGTCAACTCGAGGCGTATAACCTCAAATATTTTCTTTGCAATTCACAGTGGAAAACCCGTATGATTAAGGCGAGAGATGGAAAACCAGAAGGACACAGTTAGGTATGATTTTTTTGTGTACATATGCAATGATATTTTTCCAAGTGATCGTCTCATCGAACTTGATTATTTTCCAGAATAAAGGAAGAACCGTACGATAATTGGCCAGATGTAGACCACGATTGTAATTTCGATTCGACGGAATTCGGCGAAGTACAAAACGTTGAAACATTAAACGTGAGTTCAATCATTTGGATTATGTTTTGTTTTTTCACTATCCAAAACTATTGCAAAATTTTAATTTTAGACAAATAACATAAATGAGGTTATGGCGTCACAGGAAAATTTAGATGAAAAAATATTCCCGTATTTTGAGTGCAAAGATGTTAAACTTGAACTGCCGTCTCTATCGACAATCATCTGCAAATCTGAGGACCAAAGTTATTTACCTATTTTGAAAAAAGAAAAACAAATACGTACTAATTACTTGAAAGATAAGGAACTGATAATTTTGATAAAAAAAGAATTCGATTATTATAATAAGTGTCAATTTCAAGTACATGAGTTCAAAAAGTGTCCAAAAACTTATAAAGAAAAAGCGAGTCTAAAAAGACACATCAATACGATACATAAAAACATTGGACCGTATGAATCTGATCTTGGCCACGAGACATTTGCACACAAACGTAGCCTTGAAGCTAACATAAAAATTATACATAATCCTAGAAAACCCTTCGAGTGTAACATTTGTCATACATCATTTGGACAAAAATGGCTCCGCAACCGTCACGTGAATATAGTACATAATCGTATAAGTCCTTTTCAGTGTGAAATTTGCCATAAATCATTCGGACGAAAAGATCATCTCAAAGTTCATATAAATGCAGTACATGATCGTACTAAACCTTACGAGTGTGATATTTGTCAGAAATCATTTGGATATAGCAATGACCTCAAGAAACACATAAATGTAGTACATAATCGTAGCAAACCTTTTGAATGTGACATTTGTCATAAATCATTTGGACAAAAAAGTCACCTTGAAAGACACGTAAATACAGTTCACAATCGAAAAAACCTTTCAAATGTGACATTTGTCACAAATAATTTGGATTCAATAGTCATCTCAAAATTCACCTAGTCCAAATACATAATTATGGAAAATGATCCGAATGTGAGATGTGTCATAAACGATTTGGATACAAAGATAACTTCAAGAAACACTAAATTTTTTTCACCAACTAGTACGTTGGTGACCCTAGGACCCCTAGGAAACCCTAGGAGGCTGACATTTGTCTGGAGACGTGTAAACGCAATGAAGACTTCTGTAACTAAATTAATACGCTACGTGATTGTCGAAAATTTTTCCATATGCTTCAATTTTGGGAGGAATAATAAAGTATTTAAAATTATTATTAATTTTTTTGTTGCGTTAAAAAACCTTTCCGCTCGCCTATCTTACATTCATCAAAATATAAATAATATTTCCTAACTATCTTCCTCTTATTAGTATACGCCCGTACATTCACAAAATTTAACAGCATCAATGCCCATGAAAATACGTTTTTCTAGGCCCACCCCTAGCGCAATCGACAATAACTGCAATTTTTCCAATACGATTTTACATTTTTATGACTCGCGGTATTTTTTTTCTCCACCTCCCTCATCCTCTTCTTCTTCTTCGCCGTAGCGATCGCGAGCTAGAAGCAGCACGCGGAAAACTCGTTCTCCTTTCTCGATACGATCCTTACCACCAGTTGCTGTTGCTCGCGTATAATATAGGCGCGGCTCTCCGAACTATATCGTCGCTCTACGCAGCTATATGCATTCACCAGTTTTGAATTATTTCATTCAGCGTCCATTCATACACGCATTACACGCTTATATACATAGCCAAGCCGCTCGTTTCCAAGATAGCTTCGTCCCCTTCTCTCGATCTTCAGCAATAAAGTACACGAGTTACCCGCGAAAAAGTCAACGACCCCAACGCCGACTTATTTTCATTTCGTCCTCGTTGTTGTTGCTGTTATCGCGTTGTTACGGTTGTAGTCAACGATTTTCAATACATACGCACGATCCAATTGAATTTCCGTTTCGATCCGCGAGCCAATTAACTCTTTTCCCGATATCCGTCGAAAATTGCCTCCGATATAACTTGTCTAATTATATAAAGCTGCACAGACACACACACACACACGTGCGGGCGGGGGGGATCGATCGATGAAGCGTATAAATTTACTAATTATTCGTAAATACGCTCGCGCGCGTGCTCCGTCACTCGTGAGAGTAATCAATTTCCGCGAGCGATGATGTAACTCGGCCACCGCACGTGAGCGCGTTTGCGAGCCGTTCGCTCGACGATAACAAAAAAAAAAAAAAAAAACAGAAGAAGAAGAAGAAGAAAAACTTGAGTAAAAACACGAGCCTCTAATCATCCGCGACAAGTGTTTATTTTGGCACGAACTCGAGCTCGTCGCGTAGAAAAAAAACCAGCAATCCGTAATATGAACAAAAAAAAAACGAGAGAAGGAAAGAAAGAAAGAAGACAATGACCGCAGCGACGAAACCGGTGATCGTGCGCTGCGCGAGAGGGCGGACAAATCCCTATTACGCTTCGCAGAAGAGGATCAAAACGAAGCGCGTTATACGTATATGTATAATCTATAAATGTAACGCGTTATACGCACCGGCTCGAGCTCTCACGCCTCATTTATCTCTCTCTCTCTCTCTCTCTTTCCCCTCCCAACAACGATGTACAACGTACCAACGACCCAACGACAACACGCGTATTACGTGGATGTGTATACCTGCCACCGCCGAGCTTGCAAAAATGTGTGTGTGTGTGTGTGTGTGCTCGGCCCGCAAGGAACGGGGTGACACGACCTATAGGCGTGTATAATGTATCACACGCGCGCGCGAGAGGTCAACGAACTCGATAATATAACCCGAGAGAGCCCGAGAGCGATGCGCGGCGCTGCCGAGGTGTATCTCCTCCGCAGGTGCTGCTACACGCGCACATGCATGTGTGTACGCGGAATGACACTTTAACCGGCGAAAAAAGAAAGAGAGAGAAAAGAAAAAAACGAAGTAAGTGTAACGTAAGAAGGCCGCGGAGGAGAAGGAGAGGGCTTTACGTGTGTGTATACACTCCGAACAAAAAAAAGAATAATACAGTCCACGTGCGACGCACACACATACACGCGCATATACCGTACACATTTCGGCTTTATATAATTTATTCTAGAGACTGCACAATGGGCTCCGGGGCGCGTCCGATATATATATATATACGCATGTAGCGCCTCGCGTGACGATATACTTTTACACACGCGCATTCATCGTCGTCGCGTATATAGATATCGTGCGAATGATATACGCGATACACGTGCGCTCGTTGTATATATACGAAAACGTACCGTAAACGATCTCGCTGCGCGTTTGTGTGTACGCGCGCGGGGGTGGCGGGTGAGATAATTAGCGAACGTCGCATCACTGGAGCCATCGAAGTCGAGGAGGCGCATTCAATTTATGTAATGTACTTTTTCGGGTAGTTTTATTATAAGGAGTGTAAAGGGTGTATCCGTCGTAGCCGTCGGGATTAAATTACTTAAAGTTTGATTGAACATTTGTATTTATACTGATCGAAAATTCGTTTGCCACTTGCGGATTCGTCGTACTCCATCTGTCGACGGAATCAAAAATCTGGCACCGTACACGTTTTATAAACGTCGGAACTCGATTTACGAAAGTCTTCGGATACTGTCGTTTGTTTACAATACGTAGAGTTTGTACACAGTGCTCAAATTCTCGACACTCATGGTTATGGCTCTATAGTCGATATGTTTCTGCGATTATCGCGCTCGCTCGTCTTCCTCGTCAACCAAAGTTACCATTCTCGTAAAAGACGGATTTCTTGATAGATTTCTTGACGGATTTCTTGATAGATTTCTTGACGGATTTCTTGGCTCTATTATTTCTAAAACTTTGCCTTTTCTCTTGCGATTTCCGAAAATTCGGGTAGCGCCATCTAGCCTTGACTTAGGTACCATTTCGGATGATTCGCTCGACAAGAACAAGGTTTACTATAACCTCTCAAAAAATACTTACAACAATCTCATAATTTGAAAATTGTTGAATCAATCGTTCGAATCGTGTAATTTTCGTAATATTTACGTAATATTTTCGTAATTCAAATGCGATGAAAAAATTGTAAGTATAATCGATACGAACAAACGATCCTACATCGGATATATACGTCTTTCTCTTTGACTTTTTCTTTCAACTCTCTCCAATCTCTCGTTCATTCAATCCGAGAGCTTTCTCGATCGTAAAAGCTCCCCAAGAAAATAGCCGAGCATTTTTATCGGCCTGCAGGAAAATTCTAATTTTTCTCCGATATCGCGCGCGAGACGAGATCAATTTTCGACCTCGATTCCGCTCGGTGATGCGTAATGTATAGGAAAAAATCATTTTCTCACGCGCTCGTAAATCAGACGCATCGCTTTACGAATGCGACTGATCGATGCGTACGTATCGACGGATCGGTAATTAAAATTTCATCCACGGACGTATATATAATGCTCGAGCGAGATATCGTCGGATAGAATCGAGCCGATGGCCATATATATAATAATAAATAAATATCATCGAGCTCGAGAGCTTGCGAAGAGTCGAAGAGCCAATTCACGAGTAAAATGCGCGCGAGTCCCAATAATGTACCACGATAGCTGAAAATTCAATGGATCTCATTCAGTTGATATAGCGAGCTCATCACGCAGTCCTGAGAGCTATTTCACCGCGATGCTTATATTGCACGCGAATATAATTTGTCCGATATAGGATTAAATATAGAGAGCGCAGCAATCCCATCGCGAGCTTTCGGCCATCTCCGAGGCTAATGCGCAAAAGTATTTAGAAAACCCCGTTACGAATGACCTACAATCGTGGATCGGCTCTCTTCCTTGCGACAAAAAATAAAAATAAATAATCGACGATGCGTAAAAAAAAAGCTCTTTCGCATTTATATACAGGCGCAACTTTGGACAGAGACAGAGCGCGTTAGCTGTATATATAGTCGCGCTTTGGCGCAGGGAAAGAAAGAGGAGCGGGCAAGACGAAAAATCCAATCAGCTAATTGAGAGAAAGAGAAGAGAAGAGAAGGAGGGTAATGAAAAGAGACTCGTAGAAACAGTCAAGCTCGAGTTTAGCATATCTACGTGCATAAATCAACATGAGTAAGTATATGTATTGTAATATATGCCGACTGACCCGATAGGTCGAAAAATATAAATTTTTATATATCGGCCCAAAGTAGGCCCCCATTTGCGATCTCTCGCTAGTAAGTCAACACTTAGAGATGGAGATGGAGAGAAAGAGCAGCAGCTGTAATAGATGCACACGTGTAACGATATTACGCGCGCGCGTTCCTGCTATAAGAGACACGCCGCCGACTCGCTGTCGTGAGCCACCGGCGCCTTTTTGCTTCTCTATATATAATATCGTGCGTATACGCTCATTTGAATACTCATTTATCGTTTGCTCGTGTGCACCGGCATGCATGGCTAGACCCGCGTGTGCAGAGACAAATGAGTCACACACTAACCTAGTTCCATATAGAGTCTAATAGAGCTTTACGTACGGCGAGTTTTCACGAGTTGTTAAAAAGGTTGTGCCGTATACGCACGATTCGCTCCCGAGCGTTATATATACGTTATAAGTCCTGATACGTATGGACGTAAGGTACAACGAGGTTTATTGCAGCGAGATATCTTTGTGATGTATCGTACGAGTGTATACGTGCATTATCATCATAACGGAATCGAAGGTTCGTATTGTATCAAAGATTTGCACCTCGGTACAATACACGGCTAATACCCACTCGAGTGTCTCTCTCTCTCTCTTTCTTCTGAGTAGGCCTAATCTCGGGCTACAAATCCCTTCCGAGCACTTCCTGCCCACTTGTACACACACACACACACATTTATTTCTAAGCCGTATTGTTCGAGTATATACAAGTCCGATTGGAGAGCGAGAAAAAAGAAGTGGCAAGAACCAAGAAGAAGAAGAATAAGAAACGAAATGGAACACGACAATAGAAGAGACTCGGAGTTGAGAGAGATAGATAGAGAAAGAGAGAAAATAGATCGAGATATATAAAGTATATGTATACTGTCGCGAGAGACAGTTACGGGGGCGGACCATAATGCCGTGAGACGCGCACGACGGACGAGTAGCTGCACACACTATATGTAGGTGCCATATAACAGCTGTACGAAGAAAGAGAGAGAAAGAGAGTTTGAGTTTGACAAGGTTTATTCAAGTTCATCTCATAGAGATAGTGAACTAATACCAATTAAATTACATACAATTTTACATA